AAGAGGAGAAACATGATACAAATTTGTAAATGAACTCTTGGTCCCAATACGGTAAGCTTGTTTCCAGATACCAATAGACTTTATCCTGCCAGCAGGTTTTAAATTCAAAGTTTTGGTAATATATAAAACATTTACCTTTCTCAAAGCCAGCTTTGTGACACTCCATTACTGTAATTTCCATTTCCAGCTTGGCAATACCAATAAATAAAAATGAGAAAATGCTTCGGTCACCCGTCTCTCCCCTCTCTGATGCATCAAAACACAAATACTCCAGCGATGATTTAACTTCCTCCAGCAGACCTAATGGCAGCAGTCTATTACCTTCCATCTCCTCCAGCAAAAAACATAAGGGTGAAATCCAGTCGCAGCCACATCCTGGAGACTTCAATGTAAGTTTATGCTGTTGTTCACAATATAAAGCCTCACTATATATTTTTCACTTTGTATTGCAGTCTGTGATAGTTTTGCAGAATGTTATGCAAAAAAATTGTAATCATGAATGTTGTGTTGTAAGTTCAGTTTTTCTGGTTTGGAGTTTAGCAAGGCACAGAAGAAAGGAAAGAGGGCAGGCAGTAAAGCGGGCAAATAACAAAGGCTACATAAGCAAAAGGTAAAAGCTAATGGCCCAAAACAAACGGCTTTAGTCCTCCAGGGTATTGCTTGGACACGATGCAAGCCCCCTACATCCAAAAGTGTGGTACATAAGGCCTCTACTCTAAAAAGCCTCTACTCAGCCACTGCCTAACCAGGAGTGTGCTTGCAGGCAAATTCTCCTACATGTCTTACCACCAACTTTCTCAGGTAATTCTACTTACTCTTGATGCTGGCAAACAGCTTAGCACCAGCCTCACATCTCAGCTCCACCACAGCCCAGGTATTCAGATACTTATCAGAGAGTCTTGCTCACACTGAATGTGTCCAGAGCGCTCTTCCAGATAATGCCATATTACTACACCAAGTGGTAGCCACTGCCTTCAGAGCATGGAGAGAGGAGGCGATGCTGTCCCCACTTATTCAAGAGTTCTGTGATTAGGATGCTGGCGTAAAGAGCCTGTTAGCTCTTCTGATTGAGGGAATTCACATCTCTCTCTTCCACCTCTCAAAATCATATCCTACCCTCCAATCTACAAGATACTGCCAGTAGAAGATCAAGGGCAAGAATACTGTCATGTACTCCCCTTGACGCTGTTCTGCTTTGCGTGAAATACCTAGAAGAAGCAACCTGGGTACATTATATTGATGTCCACTGCTGGAATATCTAGTCAAGCTGTTAGGGCACTCTGCTGCTGCCAGAAAGGCCCATGCTCCTCTCCTTGCTACAAAAGCTGTTTCTGTATTTTATCCTGTGTCTGTTTGTTGTGTTTGTTATCTGATACATAAGAGACTTCAAAAGCCTAAGTATTAGTGCCTAAGCAACTTTGAGGAAAATAAACTACCGGAGTTGTAGCAGTGGCCTTGTCCACCCACTTTTGCTGTGGGCTTAACTGGCCCCACAGTATGTGTTAGGTATATATGTATATAATAAAATATATATTTATTTTTTTCAGAGTGGAGGGCGTAGTAGTAACTATAATCTTGGACACTTTCTAAAAAACAAGTTATCATAAATTGTATGTTTCAAGAATGTCTCACAGATGCTTTTGGCAAATTGAAAAAAAATTAATTACATAAAAACATTCCAATAAAAAGGCATTTTAACATATCATAGTCATTAATTTATTTTTTTCATGGATGTATCAGGTTTGTGTGGCAAACACAATACAATGGATTACATGTAAATTTTTATATATTTTAACTTCTAAAATGTAAGTTTAGAGGTTTATAACCTATTCAGAATTATAATGGTACAATTCTTCACTGGGTGTCTTGAAAACAGTTTCAATTCCTTCACAGGCAAATGTGCTGGAAATCAAAAGTGAAAGGTGATTGCTTTATGATCCACACCCTTAGCAAATGCATTTCACTGAGATTTTCTGCATAGCCTGGCAATGCACCATTTGGTCAACATTTTAACCTCTGCAATAAAATTCTTATGTATGTGGTTATTCATCTGAAAACTTTAGCCTGCAGAACTGATCTGCATGTGCCATATAGAAGATGAGAGATCATGAACTATAAATGTTAAAGTTAGCTTTGTTTTATCCCATCTTCCCATCTGGCACTTAACTGGCATGCCCAAGTGGTCCTTTGAATTTCTGTCAGAGACCACAAGCCAGGGAGTGGCTTTTTTCCGTTGGAGCTTTTTGTCCGTTTCCCTATTGCGTTTCTGTCTGGCACCTGAAGGAGAAAGAACAGTGCTTTCTGACAGTGGTTATCAACCAAAGCCAACGTGGGACCCCCTGCTCTGCACTGCACAAGTGCGTGGTAGCCCACACAGCAGGTCACTCGGTGGGATGAAGGGCTCATGAGGCCACCTGAAGAACAGGGCTGCAGCTGAGGGAATGCATGAGGCCCTGCCAAAAGACATGTGCTTCCGCTGTGGCATAGAGCAGTGATCTTTCAAGCTGATCAGGGACCCAGAGCAGAAAGAAACCTGGACCCTGGGCTACAAATTCATACCATGCAGGCACATCAGTTGTGCATCGTGAAACGAGTCAAACAAGCGAGCCTTGCTCTCCCAAGGCAATGTACAATGCTAGTTTGGAAGCGGAAGACTAGAGGTATAACTTGATCTTCTAAATGACCACAACAGATCTACTCTTTAATAATTTCATTTACTGTGTTTCACAGTGTTTTGATAGTTACTAATAGTTCAGCTGCATTTCTTCTGTATATCACATTGAAACTTAAGCCGTTTACGAAGTGCTCTGAGCAATATCTGTGAATTTGTGGCTATCAGTGACAGGACAGTTACACATACGCGCTGCTGAAATAGTAGAAAAACCAACTGCCAATTTACAACACAATGCAAAGATGGTCTGTTGTTTATTAGTTGCTTTTTTGAAGTTAGTAGCCAATTCCTCAATGTCTTCTCTGCTGTTTGTTGTCTAGAAAGCAATCCACATAAATTCAGAAAATCTTCTTCTCTGCAATAAGACCCAGTCCCAAACAGAGCCTTGGTCACCTCTGTCCAGCACACCCAGGGACTGCAGAAGGACAAAGCTTATCTTTGATGATATGTAAGTAACATGACTTTAAAATAAAGAAAACAATGTCATTTTCTGCATTTAAATACACAAAAATACAATTTGTCCAACAGGAGCTGAAACGTGGTCAGAAGTGTTATAGTAAAACTGTACATTGAGCAATGAATGAGACATGCTGTATACATTCTTTCATTTTTCATCATAAATTAAGCCTCTGATCATCAGGGAGCAGTGAGGACTGGCTGTTCCCTAAAGGACAGGGAGCCAGGAGCTGGGGGCAGAACACGGCTAGCGGGGCAGGGGCCCTGGTACCCAAGCAAAGATGAGCAGGGCAGGCCTGGGCATGGCAGTCAGGTTCAGCCAAGAGCCTGGATCCTCAGGCAAGCCCATGGTGATGAGGCATGCCCAAGGTCAGGCCAGGATCGGGTCTGGTGAGGGTCTAGACACAGCCCAGTGGCTGCCAGGCATGCACAGCGACGAGGCAGGTCTGGGGACTGGCCGGGAAGACAGTCTCCAGGTCAGGGCCCAGATCAATGGGGGCCATGGCCAGACACCAGCATAGCTGTGAAAGGGCTGATGACAGGCACACTAACAATGAGTTGGACAGGGAGTGAAGGCCCAGACCAGAGCTTAACTGGATTTCTTCAGCCCGTGGGCAGAGGGGAGAGACCCCACATGAGGCAGATCAGGGCCATTAAGACATCATTAGTACCCTTGAGGCTCTGGCATTAATTATGCACACACCAGACTATTAATATATACAGAACTATAGCAAGGCAGAGTGACAGGGGCACCCTTCTTGTGCACCCATTGGAGCAAGGGGAGAGAACATGTGGGAGCCTTGCATCCGTGAGCCTTGACAGCTGCTGCTGTCATTGCTACTGCTGCTCACAAAAAGGTACTGCAAAGACAGGGTGAGTAGGAAGCAGCAAAGGTTAGCATGAGTACCTGGAGGGATGTCTGGCCCTCCCCATCCTTCAAACATCCCCTGCTCCCCTCCTCTGAAAATAATTTCATCTTGTAATTGTCTTTCTTTTCTTTTTGGTAAATTAAAATTGCTGGTTTGTTTTCCAAGGTCATTTAGGATGTGGTATTATTTAGATAAGGTATAAAGTTGAAACTGAAGGTTGAAATCCTAGTATCTAGAAAATCCAGATTCTTTTTGACTGGTAATGTTCTGGCCTGAAAATACTGATTTTTTTCTGGCTAGCGTAGAATTGGTTCTGTTCAAGCTATGCCTCAGACTGCCTGCAGGTCTGTAAGCTGTGTGACCTTGATGAGCCTTTCGTAGTCCCAGACTTCCACCCACAACATCTCTAGTTGTTTATACCAAAGCAAACCCTGGGATAACATCCTTGTGCCCTCAGGAACTGCTTTCTACCAGAACTTGGATTTAATAATAATAATAATAATAATAGTAATAATAATAATAGTAATAATAATAATAATAAGGTTTGTTCACTCTACCTGGTCTCAGGGACAGCTAGAGGGATGGCAGCGTCTCATAAAGAGAATCCAGGTTTCCTGGATAAAGAATTCACATAGGCTTCAAAAAGATGTAACTGTTTCATATGTCAAGAAAAGAAGGCTGGTGAGATTAATTTCTGTGTGTATTCATGGCAGTCATAAGGAGGTGTAAGTTGAATAAATGTAATCCATTTCTCTGCCCCTTTTAGAGAATGCCCTCCCATGTGTATATATCCTTATTTTCCCTCCTTCTCCACTTCCCTCCATGTTAATTTAACTCTTCCAGTGCATTTATTCAGCAATCACCACTGAAGAAATCTGTAGCTGTTTAGAAGTACTACCTAACTCTTCATATATTTTAAAATACTTTATCGTCTATAATTTACTTACAACTGTTCAATTTTTCTACAGTTTAACCGTGTACATACAAGGCAGAAACCTATCAGTGTGCCTGATAAAAGTAAAAATTCTAGGACATGCTTATCTGTTTGGATTAGAAAAAAACACAGTCAGAAACAGCTACAACAGAACTAGAATATCTTCATCTGATTTTCCCTCAAGATGCTGGCAAAAAACAGGGGGACTGCTTTGTTTTGCTTTTCCCCTAGAATACTGTTATAGGAAAACTGCTTTTTTCACTCTCTCTGTCATCCAAGAGGCTTTTATCACTTGCTTTCACCATTAGTGATACATGTGATTTCTCTGGCAGGCATCTTCAATAAAACTGTTTCACCTTTTCAGAGAGAGATACCATTAAACTGTTTGTGTATAGTGCCTTCCATGTAGAATGTCCCCAAGCAACTTGTGGCCCATTAAAAAAAAGCAATCTAAAAAGCCAAATAAGATAAAACACAGAATCGAATATGTCTTAATTTGCCCTTGAAAACCAGGAACTGTTAAATGCCTTTTGTGCTAACTAGAGGAGGGAGATTTTCATGTGCTACAGCTGTCATCCACAACCTGTATCAAGGAAACACCACCAGAAGACCAGCTATACTAGACCTCAATTCTGAAATTACTGTGCAGAGAAGTCGCTGAAATGTAGCAGATTAGACTGGCTGCAAATGTTAAATGTCAACAGATTTGACTCACATGTTAGAAGGATCCAATTAAACATGGCAGCCAGTGTCTTTCAAAATTGTACACTACCACAGCAGAGGACTTGAAGAAATGCAATAGTAGGTCTAAAATGATGTAGTAATCCTAATGCCAACATTCTGTCCAAAATGATGCCTATGAAGTATTTCATCTCATAATCCATGTTCTAAATTACTGTAATTCAGCCATGGCTTTAAAGTCTTCATTTTAATCAGAATCTACAGTTTTTAAGAGACTAAATCCCTTATATTTGATTCAAAACAACAACTAATTTTTTTGACCAATCGGTGTCTCTTTGCTTTATTCTCAATTTATTTTCTCCAGATCATTGACAACAGCTGTCACTAGCAATAAATTGGAACACAAGTAGGTCAATAAAAAGTATATCTTGCTTGGCAGAGTGCTGTATACACATACATTGCAATATAAAAGTGAATATAGCTAACAGTCTTCAAAAGGCAGGCAAAATCCTCCTTCCCCTGGTTTGCCATTGTTTACTGCCTGCTCTAAACATACTTTGAGGTACCCAGCATGGCACATGTGTAAGTGACATCAATGCTGCTTCCAGTATTAATTCTTAACAAGATTTCCTGGATTTTTGGCCATTTCTGACTCTATGAAGAGAACATTTTCAAGGCTACATAATAATGCTTCAAGCCAAATTCAGTCCTGCTGTAATTTCAGTGAATGATAGAATTCCCAATAACCGCATTTAGGAACAAAGTCTGTTGTTCTTGAAGTGATAAGCACAGACATGCTGCAGGTGCCCAAGGGCACAGGCCCACACCCTCCTCAAAATACTGCATGTGTGGTATAAAAAAGAGCAGAGTGTACCCAGCTTCCCAGTTTTCCTTATGGCTAAATCAGAACATGCCCCTCAGAATTATTGTCCCACTTGCATTGTGGGTTACCCTTTCAAACTTGGGGTGCAGTTTTTTTTCACTTACATTTATTTTCCTTTTTTTCTGGCCTCATAGGAGCAAGATGATACATCTTCATCAGCTTTTTTTTTTTTCAGTCATATTTTGTTGAATGTTTGTTCTACCTTCATAGGTTTAGATGCTACACGCACCCACCAGCTTTACATTGTCCAAGGGACATATCGTGCTATGAGATAGCATTCATGTGTGTGTTTGTCAACCAGTAAACCATATATCCAGAAAATATTCAACTTGTAAAGGTGTTATGCATAGAGCTCATAAAGAGCTCAAAACATAACTTCTTGGAGCATCTCTGTTTTGGCTTGAACCCCAGGTTCATTTTCAGTGTCCTCTTCTTTGTTCTGCTGCCTCAGAGTGGAAAAGAAAAAGTGCTCTTGGGTTGTGACTCCCATACAACATCTGAAAGTCATCTTGCTTTGCATTGCTCAAAATGCCTCAAGGACTCCTGGTCTTCTGAAGTACTTAGAGAGACTTTAGTAGTGCTGAGCACATCTTCAGGAGCACAGTTAAGGAAAAGAGCTTGGGTCCTCTTTCTTCTCATCAGCAATCTGAAAGATCACTCATCAGATAGACCAACATCTACTACACAAAGTTCTTCACAAATTCATGTGCTTACTTTGGGCTGCTCCCAGTTTCTTGGCTTTGGGGGATTTCAAGATTTCATCTGACCATCCCATTCTTCCTCTCCTTCCCTTCTTCCTTGTGGCTCTCAATTTTTTCATGTCTGCACTACCCATGAGAAAATAATATTAGACTATCAGATAGCAGACACTGCCTCCCATGATTAGATAATTAAGCTGCCTGATCTCTGCAAGACCGCCTCCCCCCTTTTTTTTTAGGGGCACTTCATGACAGCGTGGTCTGGTGGGAAACAGATGCTTAATCAGCTCTAGCAGGAGATTCTCATGGGGTAAAAAATTTATAGCCACTATTCCCTGTCATCAAAGAAAAGCCAGAGCTGTGGACCTCATTTGAACTCACAGGCTACATCCGTGCCCCTCCTCTGTTCTGTGGGCAAGTGGTCCAGCACTGCTTATGTTTATATGATTAAACTGTCTTCACTCCTCAAAACGAAGAACACTCACTGATTCCTGAGAACAGTCCTTGGCCTGTGCTGTTCCCCAGCTGTGCCCAGGCTTTGCATGGGACCAGGCTCAAAACTGTGCCAGGGAGAGTATTAGCAATTAAACAGCATGGATGATGAAATGATAGAGCTGTTGTCCTTGCCCTGTTTATTTCACTTGCACAGACATAGCCAAGGAATGGTTTTATTGACAGACTCAGATCTGAAATAGTCTCTGATAACTTTGCCACTCAAGAAAGAAGATTTGTTTGCGTCAGTCAATTTTGATGTGCCTTTTTCTTACTCTGCAGCATGACTAGAAAATATCTTTAGTCCACAGTGAATCATAACAGTGAGCAGGACAAGGGTCTTCTAATCAGGCTCAGCAAACCCTCCTCCAGGTCCCAGCAGCAGAGCTGAATCTCTCAGAGAGGAGAGGACAGTCTCTCCCACAAGTGTCTCCC